TATTAAAATTACGTTATTCGTCAAGAAGGAAACTAGAGATCTATCAACTGTAGAAAAGTACGAGATATGTAGACTGCTAGAGCCAAAAGCATTTTTCAAAGGTACGCTCCATCAGGGATCCATGTATAAGTGGTTGCCAATTGGAGCTAATACAAAGGTATTGTTCTGGTAATCTATCTTAATGAGACATATTATTTGGTAAGTTGGTATGGTGGTGTTATTCATCCTTGTCTACATTCATGCGCCATTTGGCTTTCATGTTACTTGCAAGTGGCGATTGGAAACCCTTGTTCACGTAAGATGTGTCCCTTATCAACACTTGTGCCATTTGTCTTCCTTGTCTATAGGATAAGTGATCCTAACGTCTTAAGCCGTTTTTTTTTCTCCCAGGGGAAGAGTGTAGAAACCAGAAATCCTAATGCATCTTGATACTGTGATGATGTTTTTCTGCCAAATTGCGTAAATTATGGACCATCATGTCATTTTAATACTCGGTTAATTCATCACTACTTGCTCTGGTCTAAGTCGCTGTCATTGACTCGTTAAAAGTTGTAGACATTTGCTGACTCATTCTTGGTCCTGGTCACAAAGCATGAAAAGCCAATGTGATGTCTACCTAAAGGGAATGTTTCTCAGTTCTGTATATTCTTGGCCAAGATCCAGGGGTCTCACAATCTGCAGTTATACAAGCTTGACCTTTTCACACCTTATAATCACGGGGAAGACTTGACCAGGACCGAAAAAGATGGGGCAGTTAGAAAGTGCGGTATACCTTTTAAATTGAGAAGCTTTTCATTGTTTAGGTCCGTTTTAACTGAGCAAGCTAGGCAAAGTGGTTTGTGAAACCATGTGGTCAGTTGCAAGCTACCTAGGCCGGGTTTGGAAAAGATGGGATTATATATCCTCAGACAAAATTTGGATCCTTAGGATATATAGCTTGGGATTTAGGGACCGTTTGAATTCCGCATGGGATTCTAAGAATCCAGATAAAAAAATCCCAGAATTCTAGTATGCCACCTAAACGGTCTAAGATTCTAGAGGGATTTTAACTCATAGATTCTTAGGGCAGTCCCAATGGTGTATTGATGATGGTTTCTATTCTCATTAAATGATTTGCCACGTAGGCAAAACGCTGACATGGCAACGTAATTAATGAAGAAAGAAAGCAAAAATCATAGAAATGGTTTCCTCATGAAGAAATCAGGTCTACTTTTAACCCAATGTACCAAGAAACCATGAAATCGCCATTGGGGAGAAACCACCAGTTTCTAGGAAGCTCGTGTCGCACTCCCATTGGAGGAAGAAGATAGAGTTGGGAGAGAGAAAGAGAAAATAATTATTACTCATAGAAACCATGGGTTGGAAAGCAGTACTTTTTTTGTGCGGTATCCTATGTTATAGAAACTACTAGTTTCTTTCATTGGGACTGCCCTTAGAATCCCAAAATCCAATAAAATTGTTGTGATTTTTTTTATCTAGATTCTTAAAAAATCCCGTGGAATTCAAACAACACCTTAATTTAATATGAATAAAATTTTGTGACTATTCCTTCTCTTTCCAAATAATTAGTAGATCCTTGTGTAATCAGTTTTTCTACTGTGCTAATATAATTTTCTAGAGGCGGTTGGCTTTTTTTTTTAGAGGCAGCAGTCTGTGGCCATAGGTCTCTTGGTGTACCACTTTTTTTAGTAGTGTAATAGATGTATAGTTCAGTATTACTGTGTGCTAATAGATAACAACTCAATCAGCTGATATGCAATTAGTATATAACTCAAATAAGGTGAGGCCAACAACAAGATGCACAAAATGGCTGAGATACATAAACCCAAGGCGTACGTGTGACAGAGACAAAGTAGCATTTTTCCACAGAGAATATGCCACAAACAGATACTTCAGTTTGCAATATCTTTCCACAGAGAATAGAAAGACTAAGTAGCATTTTTTAGTTGGAAGCGGGACGTGTAAAGGAGCATTGGGCACGCCGTCATCGTCATGCATGACAAACACAAACGGAGGAGAATGAAACCAGTTACAGCTAACTACAGTTAGCGGCTTAGCGCCGGTTTAATCCGGGGATTAAGAAAGCAACAGAGCTCATGGTTTTCAACCCTAGACGTTGTTAATTTCGTCGCAATTCATGTCCACGAGCACTAGTTACCATCGTACATTCGGGTTCACACAATAGTTCGCGCGAGATAGATCGCATTAGTACAAACAAATTAAACTAATATACTAGCTACTTGGTGTAGTGTTTGATCATTTCAAGCACGCAATTCAGGAATTATAATATAGACCATAATTTACATCTACCTAAAAGGTCTCATTAGCACGTAAGACATGAGCTAATCACCAAAAGGTGATATATGGATTGTCAAGGACCAAGTCAAAGGCAAAAGCGTATATAAGCCGCAGGGTACCTTTCAGTACCTTTTCTGGTTCTTTGTCCGACGTCTTGGTACTTAAATAAAAAATGATAACGTCACATTCGTACGTTGAAAAATACTACCTCAGATCTGCTTAAGACCATAACAGGCTGCATGGTTACTTGTGGACTTCTCCTCGGTCATCTTCTAGTATACAACTGGGGTGTATATGTTTTGCGGCAGTGCCAGTGCTCGTATCGTCCAGATGGACGCCGGCATCCAGATGCAGCTTGCACTTGCACCCTGTTTCCGCACCTGCACTTCACATACCGTCCGACCCCTTGCGGCGTCTGCACCCCCGCCCAACCCCAATAAGCGGCGTCTGTGCCTCGGCCGACCCGTCGCGCCCCCTCCAACACCTGCAGCATGTGGATCACATTGCAACATGTGCAACACTCGATTTACTTTTGAAACATCTAAATAGAACACTTGCAATATACGTCTGAAGATCGATGAAACACTTAAAACATACGTCTGAAACACTTCCAAAAATACCTAAAAACACTTGAAAACCATTAGAAACATACGCAATATCCAGATAAAACAGTTGCAACATATGTGTGAAACATATACAGCATTCAGATAAACACATTTGCAACATACGCTGAAAATACAGATAAAACATTGGGAACAGACGTTTGCAACATAGTGTACAACCATTGTAAGATTTGCAACATCCCGATCTACTTTTGCAACATCGATATAAAACAATTGCAACATATCTCTAGAACACATGAAACACTTGAAACATACGTTTGCAACATACTCTTTCAGTGCAAACATCCCTGTCCGATCTTGTCCGCATTGCTGGATGCCGTCGCCGAGGGACAGAAGCGACTAGGCGGGCATGATGCAAAATGGAAGCCGCGCGAAAGACGGTGAGTGCGCTGGAGAGGGAGGAAGGTGGGCGGCGGCGCTCGGGCGTGCTGGAGATGAAGGATGGCGGCTGGCCGGGCGTGGTGGAGAGCGCCGCGGCAGGGCGGGCGCGGCAACGCGGTCGCGATGCAGTGGTCGAGAGGAAAGCGAGAGTGGAGATTTTTGTTTTTTTAGCAAAACGTGAGATGGGTGCGACCATGCCAATGATAGTGTCGGGCCGTTCGGGTGGGCATCGAGGCCCACTAATGCAAGGGTCCAGATGAACGGACGCCCTACCCACAGCATTTACGTTGCTTTGTGAACCTCAAAGCTCATCACCAACATGGGTATTCCATTTTCTAGTAGCGTAGGTAAAATCACATACTCCCTCTGTCCTTAATATAGTAGATTTGGAATTGTCCTAATACGTCAAGCCAACTTAAGTCTGATCTTGTTTATTAAAAGAATGTGAATATTTACAATATCAAATGAGCTCTAGATACATTACTGAATGCATTTTCCCTTCATTATTTGTCTCTCTGATATCGTGAGTATTCTTGTTCTTTTCAATAAACTTAATCAAACTTAAGCTGGTTTAACCTAAGACAACAGAAAATCCACCATTTCAAAAGATTTAAGTCAACTTAAGGGAATACTTAAATGACACATGTATCCATGCATGATCTTTTCAAAAATATTCTTAATGTTTTCAAGATCTTATAAATTTGAGGGATTTTAAGAATATTCTCTAAAAGAAATTAGTGGTCAAAGATACACGTCAAACACTATGTGAGAAGTTCTTTTTACCGGTGGGGTACCTTGCATGTAAAGTTTATTGGAATTTATTCTAGTTTATATTATGGTACTCTTTAAATTATGTGGGTCTAGAATTTCAAGTATTTTACACATATATATTGATGAATGTTCAATATACAATGAACATAGCCTATAAGGAACAGGAAGGCTGAAAAACACCACTAATTTCCCTGCCTCACTAAGTTACATGACATTATAATCTCGACCAAACTTTTAATCTTCCGCGTGTATAGGTCATTCTACTCTAAATTTTCTGGTTACATGGTATCTATTAGCTAGTAAAATATCACAAAATAGTGATCCAAATGGCATGAATATAGATTATCCTTAATTCCGTATCATCAATGTGAATATCACAATTTCCAACCTCGAATATGTGATCACATAGGTCATGTTACGCAGTAACAATATAATTAGCCTGATTTTTTTTTACTACAACACTAATGCATGTCATATACATCTATCAATGACTAGGCCAACACAACCAAACCCTCCTCTTTTGCTTAGCAATAAAACTTCTATATAGTAAAGAGATATCATTAATAAGAGCATCAACAAATTATAACAAACTAAAATATCCAATCCCTCTCACTAGATCTTCTTGTCGCTCCCTCCATAATCCAAATGTTGGGGACCAAAGCTGCACAATGCTAATCCATCATCAACAACAAAGACAAGAGCAACAAAACAACATAGATTACACACATATACAAAACAAAAACAATTAATGCGCAAATGAGCTGCCATGAACACTAACACAAGCTACAAATTTCAAAAAATGCCTCCTCTTCACTTGTCTCCACTCCCTCCTCTCCTCCCTTGTATATTGCAGTGCGCTTTATATTGCAGTTGCGCTTCTTCTTCATCTCCTCCCTCCACCAAGCTGAGCTCGATCACACTACATCCATGGCGAGGAAACGCAAGGCCTCCGACTCCGCCGTGGACATTGACGGCGACGGCGACGGCAACGACGTGCTCCAGTACTCGCCACCACTGCTGGCTTCAACAGACGCGTGTGCATGGGCATCATCGGGCGGTGGTAGCATGGCCGCGGTGGCTGCTGCTGCGGCGGCGGCGGCGCAGCAGCAGCAGCGGGGAAGGAAGCGGTTCGTGGGCGTGCGGCAGCGGCCGTCGGGGCGGTGGGTGGCGGAGATCAAGGACACCATCCAGAAGATCCGCGTGTGGCTCGGCACCTTCGACACGGCCGAGGAGGCCGCCCGCGCCTACGACGAGGCCGCGTGCCTCCTCCGCGGCGGCAACACGCGCACCAACTTCTGGCCGCGCCCCTCGCCGGCTTCCTCCGTCGCAGTAGCCCCCGCCGCCGTGCATCCCGCGCCGCCTCCGCCGACGCCGGCGGCGGCGTCGGGGTCTCCAACGCAGGCGCCGGCTCTTCCGTCCAAGGTCACCAATCTCCTGCTCCTGCGGCTCAGGGCTCGCGACAACCAGCAGCAGCTCCTCAACGCTGCCCCGGCGAGGCAGCAGGAGGCCGCGCTGCTACAGGGGCCGTTGTGCGCCGAACCGTACGGCAACGGCGGCGGCGAGGAGTGCGCCTTCCAAGTCGACGACTTCTTGAGCTACGACTGCGGCAGCGATGAGAACAGCTCGCAAGAAATAGATGAAGAGGAGGAGGAAGAAAAAGAGGAGGAGCTGGACTTCCAGTTCATGGACCAGCAGACCGCGTCGCCGGCCGCGGGGTGCGAGGGCGGGCTCTGCTCGCCGTTCGAGGTGGTGGCGGCAGAGCTCGGCGGCGGCGTCGGCGGCGAGCCGGCCACGGCCGTTCACGAGCTGATGATGAGCAGGATGGACTACGAGAGGAAGATCTCGGCGTCGCTCTACGCGCTCAGCGGCGTCTCGGAGTGCCTCAAGATGCGCCTCGGTGCCGCCGCTGCCGGTGGTGGCCACGCCGTGCGTGATCAGCTCTCCGGGCTGAGGGAGGCGTGCCGGAAGAAGCAGCGAGAGACAGTTCAACAGCAGCAGCAGCACGAACAAGAACCGTCAACGGAAACAGCAGAGGATGTCAAGCCGTCTCGTGAGGAGTGTTCGCCCGGCGGCGGCGCCCCGGAGGCGACAAGCTCGTCGTCTGAGGCGAGCGACGGTGACGGTGACGGCGATGTGCTGCTGTGGAGCTCCCTGGACTTGGCTCCCATCTGCTGAATGACACGGTTGATCAGCTTAGAGATTGTGTGGTATTCGTTTGTACTTTGTTACATGCATGGCAGATCACTAAGATCAAAAAGGCCTGGTGATAACGTGCTTACCCATTTGTTTTATCGAACGAATTAGTAAATTTTAATTCATCAATGTTTGCTTCTCCATCATGGAAAGTAAAGAGTGGAAGACAAATTGAGTTATTAATATAAAAAAATTAAAAATCCTTGGGTGTACTTGGGTCCACTCAGTCAGTGGCACAACACAATTCAAACAGAAGCTTTTGCTCAGTACAGAGTTCAGGTAGAGCTCAGTACAACACGAAGATGAACTTTGAAAGTTGAAAGAACTCACTCAACAGCTACTAAAATACCGCAAGAAAGATTCAAAACCGTGCACCATGATCACCATTTTGAATTCTATATGGCTGATCAAAGTTAGTGGTATAGCACCAAGCGCTGTTGACATATTATTTTCTGTGATCTATTTCTGTACAGTAGTGTTACACGATGCACATACACAGGCAGTCTGGGAAAAGGGAGCAGCTCAAAACAAAACTCTGCCAATTCAATGCGCTTTGCAAGTCTTTCAGTGTATCATGTGAAACTTGTTAGATAATTCAGATTGTTAGGTGGGAACTGCAGCTTGTCAGGGACTCAGGCTTCCCTTTCTGACAAAATATGGCGAACAGCCTCAGTGAAATCTTCATGGAATCTCTGATCTGAAAATCTTTGTGCACGTTTCCTAGCCACAGCTGCCATTTCTTGCCTCTCTGACTCCGGCATCCTCAAGACCTTGATAATTGCTTCAGTGTAATCTTCCTTCTCGGAGGCTAGAAATCCCGTTTGATGGCCATCCTCATCTAGCACAATGTCCATCATTGGTCCTGCCGATTTATGCGCTGCAAAAAGTGTAACACAAGTGTTATGTTTCCAAGATTAAAGTGTGTATCAAAGAAATGACTTATGCACCAGTCTTTTTAATTGGTGCCATCAGAAAATCCAAAATATGTAAGCCCAATCTCACCTTCAGTGGCATTTCGCACATAGCTTTAAATTTACACATTACCTTAGTATTTAATCCAAATAATGAAGGAATATGAAACTCAGGCAATTAACTTACCAATTGGAATAGCTCCAGCTCCCATATACTCAACAACACTTATTCCGAAATGTTCATCTGTCATCGAATGGAGCCCAGCAATGGCACCCCCAAGAAGTTGTACCAGGTCGCTGTTAAACAAATGATCCTACCAGTTAACCAATAGAACATGCATGGTGAGATTTTTTTTTTAAGTACTACATGGAATACAGTACCTGTAAGAAATATCCTTGTGGAACTCCACAAGCTCATCTATGTGTAGTTCAGTGGATCTGTCCTTAAGCTTTTGTAGTCTGTCCAGATCCTCTTTATTCCGGCAACTACCAACAAACTGAAGCTTTGGCTTAGGAAAGTCAGGATCTAGCCTTTGAAGCGCAAGTGCAAATGCCTCCAGCTGAAGACCATGGGCCTGGTGGAAGAGCGAAATAGATAAATGTTACTCTGAAGTGGGTGACTGTAAGTTAAGCTATTATATTTGAATCTTGACATGATATACCTTTTCTGGGCGGAACTGTGCAACTGAAATAAAAATAGGAGGTGTTGTTGGTCTTTCCAGGGGAAGCACCTGTGTTATAAACTCAAGGTTTCAGATGAAAACCAACAAAATCATATTTATTTAATTTAATGACATAATAAGTTATCAGGAAGAATATAGTTAATTTGCTTCCAAAATGTGTTCAGATAATGAGCACATAATTGATTGATTAGGATTCATAAGAAAAGTTTAGCAACACAGACGGTTGCAGTCTAGACATGCCTGAAGAGCAGAAGTGTTGCATGGAGGGTACACCCTCTTAGTACGCTCTGGGATCTTCCAAATATTTATAATATGGGATCTTGTCCATGAGGAATTAACCATTACAAGATGTGCACATGAACCCACCAGACCATATAACCAACTGAATATGGTATAGTAGAGGATTTTGCATCGGGACAGCCAAATGCTACAGTAGAATGGGTGCCCAATTAGTTTTCATGGTCATTATTCTTACATAAGAACAGAAAGATATCATAATTGATCACATATACAAAAAGTCAAAAACAAAGAAAATCAGGACCTCATTCATAGCTATGGAAACAGCAAAACACATCTGGATTGCCAAAACCAAACCAAGTAACTCATGTTCCTTAAATGTTAAGCCAACAAGTGGGCAAAATAATTGCTAGCTGAGTATTACTTGATCCTATTAATCTATATGCGACATCTTAAGAAGGAAGAAACATGTGTTAATAAAGAGTGTAGGATACATTAAGACAGCACTCAAGATAAACATGCATGGTTAGCTAGTACATTATTGGTGATTTTATCATGTTTTACAATTTTGGTTTCTCAGATACAGCAATGCATCATGTTTTTTTTTTCTGTATTACATATACTGGCGCACCAAAAAAAAGAGTTGAAGCTAATCACTCTGTGCTGTACATACCTTCCTGCGATATGAGAGCTGTTATTGTACATAGAACTGCGGTGCTTAACACGTTCAACCATATCAGAACTGATTGTAGGGTAATGAGTATAGCAGATGACTTTGCAACCAAATAGCCGAGCCAGTGGATATGTAAAAGCATAGCCGCTTGTATCAAAGTAAAACTGGGGGGTAAAATTAGTAAGGGCCTCCCATGCAAGATAAACGGAGCCAAGGCTTTGCCCAATCATTGTGAAGTGGGCATAGGTCCTTGCTTCGATCCACTTTCTCTTATTCAAGTGAACAACCTGAAAATGCAGCCCAAACAAATCATTAATAAGTACTGGTATATCACATCTGCTAAAAGAAATTCTTTAAATAATTTTGTAAACACGATAGGGAAATGCAGTAGTACAAAAGGTAAGAAACATTTGCCTCACTCAGTGAGTTACTAAAGCCACATTTTGTTTATACTATAATGAAATTGATTTAAATCCCTACATAAAGTACAGGCACTGCACTCAATTTAGCCTTTTTCAGACTATATTTGGCATTAGTCATTTCCTTCACTATGATTCCAACTTTATCTGCAATGGATTCATACTAGGGAGGTAATCACAAATGTTCCACGCACATCTCAGAAACTGCCAGCTACCAATGTCTATTTTTGTACCATAGAATGTGTTTAGACCAGCAATAACAACAACCAGTTATGAATCAGCCAAGCAATGATATACAGCCCCAAAGGTTCAAGTAGGAAGTAAGAATAGTGTACAGCATATTTTCACTACTTGAACGTAACTCCTAACACAGCTAACAGCAGCTGCCAAGGAAGACAGGGAGCTACCCCACAAAAAGTTTGCATGTTCGACCATCGCTGGACAACAGATTCTATGTATGTAGTAATATAATGCAAGAAAAATTCAGACAAGGCAGTTGAATAGTATTATTCAGAATTGAGAGTCAGTATAAGTAAGCAGGCCATAATATGAACAGGATTTCCAAAGCGGCACAATGCTCAACTAAAATCAACAGGGCACGACTAATCAGCTGCACTAACATCAGTCATTTCAACTGAACCGAAGCAACTCTGCATGACGTCAAGCAGCTCGAACCACCGAGATCCATTTTTTTGTCTCTCTTTTTTTACAAAGGTGGAAACCCCGACCGATCAGGCGGCGCCGTACCTGCGGCGGGCGGAGGAGACGGACACCAAACCGTTCCAGCGCGCGCGCGGCGAGGGCGTCGGGCGCGGCGTCGGCATCGCCGGTGTAGACGGCGCAGGGGAGGTCCGGGAGGAGCTCCTGCACGGCGCGCACCGCGCACCAGAGCACGCGCTCGCCGCCGCCGCCGTCGTTGGTGTACGGGTGGAAGAACCCGGCGGCGTCCGCGGGGCGGCGGCGCGGGATTAGGAGGCGCCGGAGCGCGGCGGCGAGGAGGGCGGAGAGGACGGCGACGAGGCCTGCCAAGATCGCCATGGACGCGACTGGCGACTGCGAGTCTAGTTGGGCTCGAGGAGGCTCAGCCTTTTTTATGTCTGGCGAGCTTGGCCCATGGGCCGAAGAATTGACTTGGAGAAAAATAATCCTCTGTAATAAAGCACTTTACTTCCACTCAAAAAAATCTGCTCAAAAAAAAAACTTCCACTCAAAAAAAAAAGCACTGCACTTGGAACTTTGAGCTTTCTTTTCGAGAGATTTCCTCTATACTAAATTGCAGTTTACTGAAATTGCATTAGAGCAACTTCTGCAGATTTCATATCCCTTTTCGCCTATAATCGGGTATAGGAGATCTCTCAAAATGCAATTTCAATATATAGAGCTGTTGTGCTACAACAGATTATTCAAAACCACATCTCTTATAATCAATCTTTCTAGCACAACACAAATGCTAGAAAGAATTCAAGGAACAAGAAAGATGAATTTGACCATGACATGTGGAAAATGAAGAAGAAGAATTCTTTCTAGCATTTATTTTTCTAGATTTGACTACTGGATCTACCATAAATTTCTATCACTATGCAATCTTAAGGGCCTTTTTGGAAAGCAATATTCTCAAAGAACAGGAATATGAAAAAACAAGCATAGAGTTGCAAGGAACTTACAATCGAAATCAAAATGGAAAAAATTTCACTCAGCAATAACACATCCTTACCGGTGCACCACCACCACACAAGGATTGCTACCTATGCCAAGCAAATTTGTCACGGCACAAGGCAAATAGACCGTCATGCCTGAACTTGTAAGATAATGATTGGAATTATTTTTGTTAGGAAAGAAACAATATTTATGAGAGAGTAATATGTACTCCTTTGATTTAAAAATAATTTCCTCGATGTAACACAATGACTAAATCGTTTAGTCCTCGTTCGGTTGTTTCATGTTGAAAACAGGCATGTTTCTCTTCCTGGCCCAGATCAAGTGGATCTTGGTGTTTCACTCAAACTTGGTGTGTCTTCATTACGGACATATGACAGTTCGTTTCTATTCCGGGCCTAGA